TTCAAGGATGATGTTGAGCGGATGCAGAAGGTGCAAGGATGGAGGAATGCCCTAACTGATGTCGCAAAATCTAAAAAGATATGATATCCTTAACGGGTGAGGTGAATAGACATAAATTGAAAAGAATTCCTACCTATATACTTAGTCATGAGTCAAATATATTTATGGTTAATTGTATATTTATGTTCCCAATAATGAATGATGGTTGATTATCAGTAAGAAGGAAAATATTCTTCTTGATTCTTAAAGTTTGATTTCCGTGCATAGTCCTTTTATCATGATAATGGAGTACTCTATAATGGAAAATACTACTTTTGGTTCTTGATTCTTTATCGGTGTACATCAGCAATGGATGTGTGTATGTGTGCGCGCGCGTGTGGGGGGGGGGGGGTTAGGTGGTGTGGATGGGCGGGTGGTGTGTGTGCGCGCGTGTGTGTGCATGTGTGCGTGTGCGTGTCCGTGTGTGTGTGTTTGTGTGTGTGCGTGTGCGTGCATGCGTGCGTGTGTGGTCTTTTTTGTCATCATTTACACTTTGTTTGAATCATTGTTACCCATTGTTTCATAATATATTGTATTGTATTGTACTCTATTGTATTGTTTTGTATGGTAGATACTATGTTTGGTTAGATTGTATTGTTTGTTTTTTAGTAACATTTTAATTGTTTGGTTTGATTGTATCGTACTGTATTATAATTTATAAATTTACTTAAATATTCTTAATTATTCTAGGGTAGGAGGTTTGGCTAGATTTAAATAATTAAGGTAAAGGGTAAAATAGTATTTTAAAATATTATGTAAAGATATAATTGAAAAAAGAAATTAACAATGGGAACACACCAAATTGGATTTTCCATAAAATAAGGATTTCCATTGATACGTAACAACAAAATTCAACAAAACATTACAATACATTTTAAGTAACAATCAAAACAAACATTGTAAATATAGTAACAATACAATACAATACAATGGATAACAATGATCCAAACATAGTGTTAAGGTTTGCGATTGTTAGTTTCAGCTGCATGATGCCTATTGATAACCCGCTTGCTTGGAGTTGTCTTTTATTTGTTTTTATTTTGTATATTCTACTGGATTGATCATTTATTTGATGCTTTGATAATTGAGTTCCTCGTGAACAAACAATAATAGACCAAGATCCATTCAGATTTACAATCTCTTATATGATCATAATAGTTTCTATAATTCTCTTATGTAAGTTTTCGTATATAAATAAGCTAATTGATTAGATCCTCATAAATTTTATACATTTTTGGTATATATCTTTCTCTATGTTGTAAAATTGTAATATTGGGTCCATAAACATAAATCATCTTAATTCCATATATATATTTCTTTCAATTATATGAAAAGTTAGAACAAAAAAAATTGTCAAAAAAAAAGAGAAGAAAGACACATTTTTTTTAAACAGACTATACAAAAATAATACAAACAAATTAAAATAAGGAAATATTCAAGAAGGACACCTTCACGTTATTGACCTAACATGTTTTAAATGATTATTTATAGTACTTGACCAATATAATAAAGTAGATTAACTTAAGTACTACGTTATTGACATACACGACTAAGACATCAACGATGAACTTCATACTTTAGTTCACAATCCAGTTATACGTAACACATAAATTAATCATATTCTAATTATTTTTGACCCATATATTACGGAATATGAAGAGCTTATCTGGATATAGATGACAAACACTTTTTGATGAACTGATTTGGCATTTGGACGGTGTAACAAAAATTTCTCTAATGGAATTTTGCTCATCTTGACTATTAAATTTCTATTTTATTTGAATTTTTATCATGTTAATATTTTATTTCAAAAAAAAAAAAAGAACTTGGTTGAAAAAGGATTGTTCTTTTTGCTGAATACAAGGTTTTGCACTTCATAAATTGAAGATGATTCCTTAGTATAATAACACAATAACCATTTAGATTAAAGATTTTTGTTTAGAAAAAAATATATTCTCTCGATATTTTATATATTTGTGTGTTTCAATTGTTCAAATTATATTAAATATTATATTTTTTTTTAGTATAATTTTCTTTGTGAATTTGTCAAGATATACAATTGTCAAGATATCTGTATATGTAGCCTAACAAACAAAACTAAAATTATCTAATAGTAATTAATTTTCTTTAGTATTAAAACTAATAAATTAAGTATATATGAGGAATCATTGAACGTGAGGGGGTGATTATAGTTGACAAATTTGATGATTAAATAGTTGTAAATTAATAAGAGAAAAATTAACAAGAAGAAGATGGGAAAGGCAGTAATATTGGTGGTGAGACTTGTTGCCTTAATTTGCCTTGTGGGATCACTCATCCTCCTCCTTACAAGTTCTCAATATTCCGATACTCAACGCCTTTTCTACTCTGATGATGAGCTTCAAATCAAATTTACCGATTTTCGTGTTTATGTGTAAGTATTTCATTTTCTTTGTCATAATTTTCCCTGTCTTATCGTTTCTCAATTGAGTATCTGAACATATGATAAGATGTTCTTATTAGGTATGTTTTCTAAATTTTGAATAAAAAATGTCTGGTTAAAACACTTCATTATGTGTTCAGTCCGTTTTCAGATGTTCAATTGAAATAAGACATGTTTATGCATAAGTATTCCATTCTCTTCGTGACAATTCTCATTGTTCTACTTTATATATTTTAAATTAAGAATAATATTATCTGTAAAATATAATATGATATAATATTGTTTTTTTTTCTCAATTGTTGCAGTTATATGCTGGTTTGCATTGGCGTGGGAATTGGCTATAATCTCTTTCAAACAATACTCTCATTAAGCATTGGAGTTAGCCTTTTAGATCTATTTGGTGACATGGTAATTAAACCATCCATTTTATCTTCCAAATGTGTTTGTATTCTCTTTGTTTATTACATAACTCCTCAAAATGTTTTACACGCTTGGTTAATTAGTTGTAATCCGTTATTTTTTAAAATTTATATCAAAACCAATTTTTTGCATATTTAATTTTATACCATAACAAAATTAGATTTTTTGAAACCATCTCAATATCGACTATTAATTTTGAATTTCAATAAAAAGAAATGATCATAATTGATTGTATTTCGTTTTCCAAAATATCATACATGCTAATATTTTTAATAAGTGAAGTACCTTGCAGGATATAAAATAGTATCATTTCCAATGTAACACCTCTATACGTGATTGTATTATATGAATTGATATGTTTGTAATGGTCTTGTCATGTTGATTTTGAAGCAGATCATAGCAAATATATTGGTTTCAGGAGCAGCTGCAACATTTGGTTTTACACTTGAATTGAGCCGTTCAACTGACCTAGAGCCCACTAGTTTCTTCAATAAGATTTTTGTATCTGCAGGCCTTTCTCTTCTAGCAACTCTCTTCACACTTATCTCTCTCATTTCCTCACATGTTGCTCTAAAGGGTTGAATTGTTGATACAAACAAACATTTCATGTACTATATATTAATTTTCTTTCATTTTCATTATCAAGTCTCTCCATGTTGTAAACAATGTATCTATCTATCTGCAAGTGGTATTTTGCTAGAACTAATGCATATGCATGATTATTGTTATGAGAAGAATTTGTGAAATTAGGTCTTAGGCTTAATTCACACCCCAAAAGCTAGCTCAAAGAGAGGAGGATTGCCCAAGCCTTATAAAGAGTTCACCCATCTCATTAATCACTGATGTGAACTTTTGTCATTCTTTAACAGAATTGTACAAGTCATTCGCCTTGTGAGGAGACTGATGGAGCATTGTAGGAAGAGAGATATTTTACATATTTAAGACATACGGCAAAGTTCCTAGGGAGGTTTTATATATATAAATGCTTGAAGGCTAGATACGTACATGTGGGTTACACTAGGGTGATTGAAGACATGTGTGATAGAACTAAGACTACGGCACGAACAAAAGGAGACTCAAATCACTTCTTAATCACGATGGAGATCAATTCTTATCCATTTACGACATTATGTTGATTGACGAGAGTCGGAGTGGAGTTAACACCAGGATGAATTTGGAGATAAACATTTAAGTCTAAAGGATTAGGTTGAGTCGTGCCAAAACTGAATACTTGGAGTGTAAGTTCAATGATATTGCACATGTGGTCAGCGTGGAAGTGAGACTTGAGTCTCAGGTCATTCTCAAGAGAGGTTGTTTTAAATATTTGGGATCTTTAATTTAAGGTAATGGAGATTTCGATGATCGATGATGTAACACACTGCATTGGTGTGGGATGGGCATATAGAGGATTTCCTCTAGAAACTTGTGTGATGAAAAAGTAACGTTGAAACATAAAGGTAAAATCTATAGAATGGTAGTTTTACGGGCTATATTGCATGGGGTAGAGTGTTGACATGTTTTGGAAGCTGGAAAAATATGGATGTTGTGATGGATGTGAGAATATACTAGGAGGAGATAAAATTTGAAATAAGAACATCCGAGTCAAGATGGAAATGGCTTCGGTGAAAGGCAAAATGTGGGAAGCGAGACTAAGATGATTCAGGCATGTCAAGAAGAGATGGTTGGATGCTCAAGTGGTGAGTTGTGAGACTCTCAATATTGGATAGCTTCAAGAAAGGAAAAGGTAAACTAAAGAAATATTGGGGAGAGGTGATTAGACAAGACATGACATAATAATTTTGATTTATCGAATATACAGTTTTACATAAGAGATTGTGAAGAAAACAAATTCAGATAGAGGGCTAACAGGGCAGAGTGTGTGTTGCTATTCATCTATAGTTGTAATTATAATATTGCTCCAGTAGTTCTTTTTTATTATCATGATGTTGGAAAAGACAATCATACTATGTTATTGTAGTTATTGTCCTGGCACTATAAAAGCAACCTTGTATCCAAGGTAAAGATAATATTTAAATTCATTCTACAATTCAGAAATTCCATTTTATAAAATTATATTAAATATAAAAGCAACCTTGTATCCAAGGTAAAGATAATATTTAAATTCATTCTACAATTCAGAAATTCCATTTTATAAAATTATATTAAATATGTTGGTGGTACTGATTTTCAACAGAATCTCTAATTGCTAACTTGTTTCGAAAGAGTCAAATAGAAACATACATTTTATTCAACTTCTTAGACGTGTATATTACAAGTAGGGGTGTATAAAATTTAATGGAAATCCGAACTAAATCGCAAATCGAGTCAAATCGGAAAAAAATCTGATTAGTGGTTTGGTGTTGAGAAATAAATCCCCACTATATTTGGGTTGGGTTGGTTTCAACTAAAAAAACTCAACCTAAGACCAAATCAACCCGACACTATATATATAATTTTAAAATTTTATTTTATATGTAAACATACTTACTTTGATATAATTTTTAAATATCTATTAATTTTTTTCATAGTTTTTAGTTTTAATATATTTATTTATGTTTAAAGTTAAAAATTTTAATTATCTAATACAGATTATAGTTCATACATGTTGGTAATTATAATAAAGTTTAAATAAAAATCAAATCAATACTAATGCAAAAGAAAATCAATTCAACACTAAGAATGACAATAATATTGAATATTTATTTTTTAGTCTTACATAGATTTAGATAATTAAAATACATGATCTAATTTTAGCATTATTTAGTACTTACTAAACTTATTTTAGCATGATTTAGTACTTACTAAACTTATTTTAGCATGATTTAGTACTTACTAAACTTATTTTAGCATGATATATTACTTTAAATTATGATCAATTTCATTATGACTTATTAATTTGCAATATTTATTTTTATGCGATTTTATTATTTATTTTTTGTTGAATATTTTAGTGCCATTAATCATATCATATTTTTTGTTATTTTCTTGATAAATAACTTAGATAGTTGCATTTTGATAGTACTGAAGAAATATTTGAAGTACAATTAAGTTATATATTTGTATTAATACTTTATCGAAAAACCTGAAAATCCAAAAAAATCAAAGTTGAAAAATCCGAGTTTTATTGATTTGGTTTGGTTTATAAATAAAAAAATCTGACAAAATAGTTTGATTTTATATTTGAAAAATCTGAACCAATCCGGTCATGTACACCCCTAATTACAAGTGTAAAAATCTACCAACCGTCTTCGAGACCCTTTGAACTAGCCACACAATTTGATACCGGTGACAGATCTGGAATTTTAAGGTTGAGAATATATGTATAAAACATTCTACTAAGAATTATTGATCGACACCCCTCAAGTATATATGGCTATGTCATTGCTTAGCTACCAATCACAAATATAAGTTCACAAAGTTAACACTAGTTATGAAAAAGACAATCATATTTAAGCACCATAGTAAAAAAAATAATTATCTTGAATAAAAAAAAATGATGTTTTTTTTCTTTATTAATATGTCGTTTAGAAAAAGTTAGCGACAACTAGTGAAAGAGAAAAAATAATAATTTGCATGGGGAGTAAAAAAAGAAATAAAATCCAATTATTAGAATACTACTAAGTAAGAGTAGAGTTATTTATTAAACTAAAACAACAAAAGGTCAAAACTACCCTTCAACTATTCAAAATTGATTAAAGTGAAAAGTGGAAAAACCAAAAAAAATGACGATAGTTCGTGAAGGTTTCTACAGAAAGACCCATTGGTTCTGGCAAACGGACCACAATTAATGGTAACTGGGAGCACGACTCTATACCCCAACCCAACTTGCTCTGGACCCGAGTCCTTCCTTTATATTCCTCAGTAAGCGGATCGTGGGAGCATGGGGGGAAGATATCTATTTTTGTATGATATAAAGCATCTCTCTTTTGACCCTCTGACCGAGCTTGCCAAAAAAATCACAATAGAAAAAGTTCTTCTTGTCAAGAGAGTAGCATCGGAGATATCTTTATCTGAGGAGGAGGCTTCGTCGTCCGGCTCCTCCTAAATGATAACAGGATCGGCCGGCTCATCCTCAGAATTCAAAAAGAAAAGAGAGGCAGAACCGAATCACTTTGTCTTACTGACATATCTAATCAGACTGAATAGGATTTGAAGAGCTGTCACGATCATTCACATAAATTTCAGTGAATTATTGAAGCTACCAGTGTGATTGATCAGACAAGTACCAAGGGCTTTCGGTAGACTTCTTTCATTTCTGAATTAGCTTGCGACAAGTCCTAGCATTAGTATGAGCTCGTTGACCGCGTAAGAACGATCCATCTTGATGACGAATTCTACGATAACAAGAAATCAAAATTAATCATTTAATGTTTGCTCGTTCTCTCCTCTTCAATTAATATAGGGTCCCTTAAATATATCCTTAAATTATCTTTCAGCTCAAAATACCCTTTATGTCTTATTATTGAACAAAACTTACCATTCAATTAAACGGAAGAGTTATGTGACATCCCATGTGTGTATTAATATGCCATATAGACCTCCACATATGCATGGCTGTTGGGTATGTAGCAAGAATTGATGGGAAATAGAGGGAATGAGAGGAATTTGAAAAGTTTAGAACTTGAAAGGTTAGGAATTTGAAAAGTCCTCTAATGCTTTAATGAAAAAGGCAATTGTCCCTCATCGGTAATGGAAATGAAAATAGGAGAGTTTAAATAAATAAATATTCCTAGTAATTGTTAAAAGGGTTGGAAAGAGGGACCCCCCTCGCGCCGTCGTCGTCGTCGCTCGCTCGCTTCGGCTTCGACTTCGACTTCGGCAAATGATCGATCGAGAGATAATTTTTTGGACAAATTTATTTTCATTATTTATTTAATTAATTAAATGGCCAAAAAATATTTTCAATTAATTAGTTGATAACAGAAGTTAACCGAAATGTTTTCAACTTTTTAGTTAACCCGACCCGATTCGGATCCGCGCGCGTGACCCATTTTAATTTATCTCATATTTAAAAAATTCCCTCCATGACTGTTCTGAAAGGTTGCAACTTTCAGGACAGTCAATACCATTTGAAAGTTTGCAGCCCTTCATTAACGGTCGTGTCAATTCTGAAAGGGTTGCAACCTTTTAGAATATATTTTTCTTGCCTATAAATACCATTCAGTCTTCAGAATATTTCCCTACGAATTTTCTAATCTTCTTCTTCTTAAAAACACATATTTCTTCGTGTACTTTCCTGCTGTGGATTGATTCGCTAATAGTAGAGTTTTTGGTATCTATACTCTACTGATTAAGATCATTTTACCCTGGGAGGTTATATTCCAAATCAAACCTCAGATACTAGAGGGGAATAATTTCCTTAAGGGGACACTGTGAATTTAGTGGACTTGATTTTCTTCCTAAATTATCAAAAAAAAGTATTCCAGATTCTGGTAAGTTTTTTACAGATTCAATTATTTTTTACAAATAAATTTTTGTTCATCTTATTTACTGGTTCTAAAAATCTCAGTTACTTCGTGTTTCTAAATGATTTATTACAACCAATAATTTCTGATTTTCATAACACAGATTGGCAACAATCTTAAGGAAATTATTAAATCTGTGTTTCTGGTGGAGACAAAATCTTTGTGATTTTATA